CTGTTAGGGCTGAATGATCAGTACGCAGAATAAAACGACGACCGAACAGAAATAAATGCCACTTTTCACAGGCCCACACACATGCAAGGGCTTCTTTTTCCCCAACTGAATAATGACGTTCAGAATCTGATAGCTTTCGTGATGCGTAGGCAATAACTTTCTCCTCTCCGTTTTGTATTTGTGAGAGGACAGCTCCGAGACCGACATCAGACGCATCAGTGGACACAAAAGTGCGGCAAGATTCGTCAAAAATGGCAACTAGGGGAGCAGACGCAACTCTCCTTTTCAGTTCATCAAAGGCATTTTGATGATTGCTGCCCCAAACGAATGACGATCCTTTCTTTGTTAACTGTCGTAATGGATCTGCCACAGTCGCAAAATCCGGCAGATAGCGCAGGTTATAAGAGCACATTCCTAAAAAGGACTTTAGTTCTGTCAAGTTTTTGGGTGTTGGCGCTTCAGAGATGGCCCTGATATTTTCATCACTTGGTCGAATGCCACTGCGTGAAATGACGTGTCCCAAAAACTGAATTTCTGGTGCATTGAAGAGACATTTTTCTGCGTTCAGACGCAAATTGAGATCACTGAGGCGCTGGAGGACTTTGTGTAGCCTTTCATCATGTTCTTCCTGTGAGCGGCCGAAAACACAAATATCATCCATGTAGGCAACATGCCCATCGATACCTGCCAAGGCGTGAGTCATGAACTTTTGCCAGGCGGCGGGCGCGGAACTCAAACCCATGGGTAAGACTTTGTACTGAAACAGGCCATCAGGAGCGAGGAAGGCAGTTAGGTGTTTGGAATCATCGGCCAATGGCATATGGAAAAATGCACTTTTCAAATCTAGCTTGGAAAAAACAGTTGCACCAGCTAAACGTACAGTGAGTTCATCATTGGATGGCAAAACAAAGCGCTCTACGACGATCTGTTTGTTCAGTGCCTGCAAATCGTTGCATATCCGGACAGTACCGTCTTTTTTCATGACACAAACCATTGGATGCACCCACTCAGAGCAGTCGATGGGTTCAATCAAATCATTTGCAAGCATCGCTTGCAGGGCTGCTGAGACCGCTTCACGTTTCGCTAGCGGAATGGGTCGAGGTTGACCAATGGCGACCGGTTTCGCATTAGGTTTCAGCTGAATTCGATGCATACCACATGGAATACGGCCGATGGACTTCTGGAAGAGCTGCGGATAATGTTCCTGCCAGTGTGCTACGTTGACGGAAGAGATAAGCATGCGGTCGAATGATGGTACAATATGCAAAGCCACCATAGCATTCCTCCCAAGCAAGGGTCGTCTGTTGTCCGAAGCAATATACACTGCGACATCGGCAATCACAGAATGCAACCGCAAAGGCACGATAATAAATCCCAATATGGTTAGTGTGTTCCCACTATAACTCCAGAATGAATGTGAGGTGGGATGTAAAGTATGCTGTGATAGGTAACGTTCATAAAATTGGAAAGGCACGATAGTGACTGGAGAAGCAGAATCAAGTTCCATTTCCAATGGAACAGCACTTTTACCAGTAAGGAACAATACAGTACGAATGTCAGCAGCGGGAAACTTCGGTTCAACAACGGATATGGTTACACAACCTGAAGGTATGGAGTCAGCGGTGATTGAATAGATATTGTCTTGAGTTGGATCGGTAACATGGCATTCCGGTGTATCATCCTCTTTAATGAGCGCGACAGCCTGCGATCGACAACAGCGGGCATAGTGTCCAATTTTACCACAGTTTTTACACTTGAGGCTGCGTGCGGGACAACCGGCAAAATTAGCTTTGTGAGACGTGCTCCCACAACGATAGCAAGACAGTTTGTCTGTCGGACGTTGCCGGAAAGATTGTACTCTCGCCACTTCAGTTAAGCTGGTGGAACAAAACTGCTTCGATTGCAATGAAATTTCTGTCTTTACTCGGGCTAATTCGCAAGCTCGATCCCACGTTAGTGTGCAAGCGTCTTCCTGCAATAGCCCCTCACGTATGCGATTGTCAGCGATCCCAGTGATCAGTTGCTGAGTGAGCATACAGCCTTCAATCTTTTTCTGTGGAATAGACGAGTAGGCACACGGTCGTACTGCACGACTCAGCCGAGCAATGAAATCATTCAAGGATTCGCCTGCTTCTTGGTGTATTCGAGAGAAAATATATCGCGCGGTAAACACGTTCATTTGGTAACTCCATGCACGATCGAGAGCATTGAAGGCGTCCATAACCGATTTGCATCCTTGGAGACCCAAATCATCGAATTGTCGCTGTCCCTCATCTCCGAGTAAATGTCGAAGCAGCTTCAATCTTTTATCCTCACTAAGAGCAGTAGGGAGATCGCTGATTAAATCCAAGTAGTTTAGGAAGGATGTTTTCCAACGGAACCAGGCATCCGATGTCGGTCTGCTGCCGCAATCAGTCCAAAATGGAGATGGGGGTTGGATGGAAAGGTTCATTTTTGCCTCCGCGACGCCACAATGTTGTATCAAGAAAGCCGTAGGAAAGGTAAAATGTATCTCGCAAAATTAACCAAGTACAACTGAGTCAATCCCTTGTGAAACGGAGAGTCAAGCGACAGACACACGGACCAATAGTAAGGTAGGAATGAGTCAGCAAGCCAACCAATGAGATTGAGCCAATCGATGTTGCTCACCTGGTTACCACACACTGCGCTCGATTAGAGTCCGGCAGAGATGTTCGGTCTCTAACATAGAACTGCTGTTCACGGAGAAAGTTACCAACCCATCCTAATAATGCATTGCCTAGGTTTTCCAAGTAGCCCGTCATTACGACAACGATGATCGCTCCCATGACTTTGGAAAGGACAGAGAGAAGTGTTACCGGACGGTAACTGGTAGGATCAGACGGACTTCTCTGAAAGAATCCGGCAAGTGGCTGGGCTAGGTGAATAGCTGCTGCCTGCAATGCTTTAGGGTGAAGATTATCCAAGGATGGTAGCTTTTTCAGAACCACTTTTGCTATGAATTTGAGGTTGGATAACACTGATGGGGTTGGGACAGAAGCAAGTATAAAGTTTGAGGATAGTACCCCTTGGAAAGCGGGCCAGTTCTGGGCAATGAGAAGTTGTCCGCCTTTTTGGTTGTGTGTGTATACCACCGACCGTATTGAGTGGTGCGATTCCACGCTGTAACTTTCGCAATGCATTCACATGTCTGTAAATAAGGCAGTGATTCGAACGGAATTGTTTCGCTAGCTCCAGTCGGTGTGATAACTTGTTTTCACAAACAAACTGTACATATTGGTTGCTCAGAGCCACGTACGCTGTCTCATTCTCCGCGTCAGGAAGGTTTATGTGGCCATAAATCTTCAGTTTTGGCTTCTGATGCGTGGTGTTGGTTTCATTTGGTGGTGGAAGATTTTTGCTCCGACGCTTACGTGACTAGTGATGTGCTTTTCAACCATTTCTCCCAGACCGCCTCTAGGGGGCACTCAGTCATGTATGTCCAACTGGCATCCTAAAAGCACACAACGAAAGGCTATGCTCACAGAATTGTAAGGTGTGATTTAATTCGCTAGGACGAATGCGCTGACGCAGAGCCCGAAAAAAGGTAACGTATTTCTTATTATCTGGTTCTGTCCGCATTCGGAGCAAATATCTTCCACCATCACATGAAACCAACATTACTCATGAGAAGCCAAATATTAAGATTTATGGCCTTGGAGGAGTTACAAAGTTAATAAGAATGCGTGGATGACGAAAGCACTTTTTGCCGAGTGGGTCCTCGAAGGGGACAAGAAGCTAAGCCGAAGTGGTTGAAAAATTTCGTTGCTTTTGGATAACTACACAGCTCAATAATAAGGAGGTCTGAAAAGCATTCACATGGCGATCTTGCCTGCAAACATGACCTGCATTCTTCAACCCATGGATCAAGGTGTGCTTATGAATCAGAAAATCCGTTACAGAAAGAAACTTGTGGACCGACTTCTTTATCACATCGAAAACAACGTGTTATCTGGCTCATCGTTAACGGTGAATGTCAGCTCCAAGAATTCTGTACTTGATGCAGTTCGATTCGTTTCAAAAAGTTGGAGGCAGTTTACTGATGCAACAATAAAAACTTGCTTTCGGCTCGCTGCCTTCAGTCGACTGGTATCCGATGCACTTTCTGATGACGCCTTCATCGCTGAGGACAAGATTAGCGCTGGCGCAATCCCAGTCATTAGAGCAGAAGAATTTTTCACCATTGACGGTGATGTGGAATGCACCAGATATGATAATTGTAGATGAACTCGTCGATGTTGAATTGCCACTGAAGCCTTCACCGCTCGCCCGGAAGAAGAAGTCCAAAGTCGAGCCGGAAAGAGAATTTTATGCATGAAATCACATTGTCTACTCAAGTGCTTCTAATCTATCGGGGATCTTGCCGAAAATATTTCTATTGAGATCGTGCTAAACGTAATCTGTGCATTCTCTAGGTGATATAGCTCTCCGCATTGACCGTCATAGCGCGCGGTAAATGGGCGTGCATTCGCCCGCCATGCCTTTTCGCGCTTGGCACTCGATCAAAGACCTTAACCTAGACTCATGGCGGTCAAGCCTGATACGTCTTTGTCAAAATCTTTAACCACTGACCGTCCGAACTTCAGCAGAGATACTCAAGAAACCATAATTGCGCGCCACGCATGCGTATTTAAGTGCGAATCTATTTCTCAAGCTCTCGCACGGCTGTATTACAAGGCGGCAACGAAGCCGGTTATGTGACTCGACCAAGCAAACTATTTGTCCTGGACGCCTCAGGGTTCCCCAGAATGCAGGACTGGTTATTTCTAGCAGCGTATAAAGTGCACTCTGACCCGACATCACAATAGGGAAAGCATAACACTCGTCCACTTACCGGTGGCTTACTTTCCGCGTAATGAGTCGCATACCAATTATTTCTGATGCATCAATCCCTTCTGGATTTGTTGGTGCATGTATATAACTCTGCTTTGCGACAATTCACTTTCCAACCGTCTTAGTTTTCGTAATTCCGAAACTCAATC